GAGGAAGACGGCCCTGGGATAACATCTGTGCCCATCTTCCTCCACTTTATATGGGACGCCGCCACAGCATGGCTTGCCAAGCAGTGCGTCGGTGCGCACCCGGGATCCGAACCAGCGAACCCCAGGCCGCTGCAGCGGAGCGCGCGCACCCAACCGCTTGCGCCACCGGGCCGGCCCCGATATACCACATTTTATATATCTGTTCATCAATTGATGGACATTTAGGTTGTTTCTACTTTTTGGCTATTATGAAAAATGATGCTGTGAACATTTATGTACCTGTTTCTGTGTAAGCATTGTTTTCAGTTCCATTGGGTATATATACCTAGGAGTAGATTGCTGGGTCACATGGTAACTCTATGTATAACTTTTTGAGGAACTGCCAAACTTTTCCAAAGCAGCTGCACCATTTTACATTCTCACAATGGTGTATGAGAATTCCACCTTCTCCAGATCCTTGTCAACAATTGTTATTGTCTATCATTTTTATTATAGCCATCCTAGTGGGTGTGAAGTGGTTTTTTGTTGTTTTGTTTTGACATATTCTGGTTTTTTGTTGTTTTCTGGTATCAATTAATTTAAAAGGATTTAAGTCATACAAAGCATGTTCGCCGACCATAATGGAACTAAACTACAAATCAATAACATAAAGAGAACTGGAAAATCCCCAAATATTTGGAAGCTATATAACACACTTTTTAAAAAAATTGTAGTAAAATATCCATAATGTAAAATTTGCCATTTTAACCATTTTTAAGTATACAGTTCAGTGACCTTCAGTACATTCACATTGTTGTGCTACCATCACCACCATCCATTCACAGAACTCTTTTCATCTTGTAAAACTGAAGCTCTGTATCCATTAAACAATAACTCCTAATTTTCCCCTCCTCCCAGCCCCTGGCAATCACACTACTACTTTCTGTCTTGATGAATTTGACTACTCTAGGTACCTCATATAAGTGGAATCATACAGTATTTGTCCTGTTATGACTGGCTTATTTCACTAGCATAATGTCCTTAAGGACTGTCCATATTGTAGCATGTGTCCGAATTTCCTTCCTTTTTAAGGCTGAATAATATTCCATTGTATGTATATATCTTCATTCTGGTTTTGTTTGCCTTCTCCTAATGACTAATAATGTTGAACATCTTTTCATATGTTTATTGGCACATGAAAGAAGATATTCTATATCTTCTTTGGAGAAATGTCTATTCAAATCCTTTGCCCATTTTTTAATTGAGTTGTCTTCTTGTTGAATTATAAGGATTTTTATATATTCTGGGTACTAGTCCCTTATCATTTATATGATTTTCAAATATTTCTCCTTTTCTGCAGGTTTTCCTTTCACTTTCTTGATGAAAATTTTGAAGCACAAAAGTTTTTTAATATTGATGAAGTCGAATTTATCTTTTCTTTTGTTGCTTGTGCTTTTAGTGTTATATCTAAGAAAGCTTTGCCTAAATCCAAGGTCGTGAAGGTTCACGCCTATGTTTTCTTCTAAAAGTTTCTTCTAAAATTTTTATAGTTCAAGCTCTTAGCTTCAGGTCTTTGATCCAGTTTGAGTTAAATTTTTATGTGGTGTGAGGTAGGGGGTCCAACTTTGTTCTTTTGCATGTGGATATCCAGTTGTCCCAGCACCACTTGTTAAAAAGACTATTATTTTCCCCATTGAATTGTCATGGCACCCTTGTCAAAATCAATTGACCATAAATGTAAGGGTTTATTTATGGACTCCAATTGATCTATATATCTTTCTTTGTGCCAGTACCACACTGTCTTGATTACTGTAGCTTTGTAGTAAATTTTGAAATTGGGATGTATGGGTCCTTCAACTTTGTTCTTCCTTTTCAAGATTATTTTTAGCTATTCTGGGTCCCTTATGTTTCTATATGAATTTTAGGATCAATGTCAACTTCTGCAAAGAAGGCAGCTGGGCTTTTGATAGGTATTGTGTAGAATCTGTAGATCAATTTAGGGAGTGTTGTCATCTTACTATTAAATCATCCAGTCTGTGAACATGAGATGTCTTTCCATTTACTTAGATCTTCTTTAATTTCTTTCAAAATATTTTATAGTTTTCCATATATAAGTCTTGCACTTCTTTTGTTAAATTTTTTCCTAAGAATTTTATTTTTTTTGATGCTATTATAAATGGAATTGTTTTCTTAATTTCATTTTTGATTGTTCATTGCTAGTGTGTAAAAATACAATTGATTTTTGTGTATTGATCTTGTATCCTGCAACCTTGTGAACTTCTTTGTTCTAGTTTGTGAATGTGTGTGTGTCTGTGTCTGTGTGTGTATTCCTTAGGACTTTTCTGTATGCAGGATATGTCATTTGTGAGAAGAGGTAGTTTTACTTCTTCCTTTCCACTCTGAATGCTTTTTATTTCTTTTTCCCTGCCCTGGCTAGAACCTTCAGTATAATATTGAGTAGAAGTGGTGAGAGCAGATATCTTTGTCTTGTTCCTGATCTTAGGGGGATAGCTTTCAGTCTTTCACCATTAGGTATGGTGTTAGTTGTGGGTTTTTCACAGATGCCTTTTATCAGGTGAAGGAAGTTCTCTCCTGTTCCTAGTTTGTTGAGTGTTTTTATCATAAAAAGATGTTGGATTTTGTCAAATGCTTTTTCTTCATCTATTGAGATGATCATCTGCTTTCTGTTTTATTTATTAATATGATATGTTACATTCCATTTTATTTATTAATATGGTGTTTTATTTATTAATGTGGTGTACTGTTTTTGTATGTTGAACTAACCTTTCATTCCTGGGATAAATTCCAATTTTTCATGGTGTATAATCTTTTTTATATACTGCTAGATTTGGTTTGCTCATATCTTGTTGAGTTTTTTATCAGTACAGGCATACCTTGGAGATATTGAGGGTTTGGTTCCAGACCACCATAATAAAATGAATAACACAATAAAGTGAGTCACCTAAATTTGTTTGTTTCCCAGTGCATATAAAAGTTATGTGTACAGTATACTGTAGTCTATTAAGTGTGCAGTAGCATTATGTCTAAAAAAACAATGTACATACCTCAATTAAAAAAATACTTTATTGCTAAAAAAGGCTACCTATGATCTGAGCCTTCAGCAAGTCATAATCTTTGCAGTATCTGCAAAGTGCAATAAAGTGAAATGCAATAAAACAAGGTATGCCTGTATTCACAAGGGATATTTGTCTTTAGTTTTCTTTTCTTGTGAGATCTTTGTCTGGTTTTGATATGAGGGTAATACTTGCTTAATGGAATGATTTGGGAAGTGTTTCCTCCTCTTCTGTTTTTTGGAAGAGTTTGTGAAGGATTCTTCTTTAAACGTTCGGTAGAATTCACCTGTGAAACCATCTAATCCTGAGCTTTTCTTTGTGGGAAGTTTTTGATTACTAATTTAGTTACTTTACTTTTTATAGGTCTATTCAGATTTTCTATTTCTTCTTGATTCAGTTTCTGTAGTTTGAGTCTTTCTAGGAATCTGCCCTTTTCATCTAAGTTATCTAATTTGTTGGCATACAATTGTTCATAGTATTCCCTTGTAATTCTTTTTATTTTTCTAAGGTTGGTGGTAATATCCCCTCTTTCATTTCTGATTTTAGTAATTTGAGCCTTCTCTCTTTCGTTCTTTATAAGTTTAGCTAAAGGTTTGACAATTTTGTTGATCTTTTCGAAGAACCAACTTTGGTTTCATTGATTTTCTCTTTTTTTCTATTCTTTATTTTATTAACTCCTGCTCTAATCTTTATTGTTTCCTTGTTTCTGCTTGTTTTGGGTTGCTCTTGTTTTTCTAGTTTCCTAAGGTGGAAGTCTAGTTTATTGATTTGAGGGGACTTTTTTTAGATTGAGACTAGAGTTGGTGATTATATTCCTTAAAATGTTTCCAGATGACTTTCCAAGCACAAATATGGTTATGAGGGAGAATTAGCTTTTTGGCATTTTCTTAGGAAAAAACACTGTTTACTTGTTTAGATATTCAAAACTGAACATGAGTCAGCAACATTATGCTATCATTTAAAAAATAAGCTCAGAATTGAGGGCACAAATAAAACTGTCGGAAATTCTCATTCTCAACACCAGTCAAACTCATTCAGAGTGAACTCACTCACTCTTGGGAGTTCAGATTAATCACACATTGCAATTTAAAGATTTATTTCACTGTTATAACCTCCTGCTCCAAACTCAGCATGATCCTTCTTATAGTGAGTTGCCATATAATGTAACCAAGAACTAGGGATAGGCAACTCTCCCAGGTTAATTTGAAGCAGAAGAGTGCAGTTGTTATACAAAGTCATTTGGATGTGGAGTCTTCCCAAAATCCATTCCCCACATTCTTTTTTTATGCCACCATCTTCAGCACTTAATACATCCTGTAGGTATCTCCTATTTATCTTCATTCCTTAATTTCCTCTGTATCCTTTAAACTGTTATTTATTTGACTCAAGTCTCTTTTGTTCATTATGCAAACATGTCTTGGCTTTGAATATAACTGATTTGATGGATACTTCAGTTCTTCCTCAAACATGGTTTTGCTGTGCATAACATTTTCTTTGGCCAGCTCCAGCAATTTCCCACATTTACTAGGTCACTACTCTGGCATTTGGGCATAGAATCATGTTAACTCCCATTTTCTTTTTTAATCCAACCCTTTCTATTTAGATAGATTACTTTAACAATCAATAACTTTATAGTATCCTTACTTGGAAATTTTACAAAAATAAAATTACCTCTAAAACATTGCTCCCTTTCCCAAATTTTCAGTCATTCCACACTTTAATGACTTAAAGGAAAGAACATTGGAAAGGTTGAGAAAAGAGCAACTACAATGATTAGATGGTCTTCATAAACTTATTCAACTTTAAAGGCATTGTGATTATTTAGACGGAAGAGAAGAAAGTCAAGTGAAAACCTAATAGTTATGTAGTCTCATGAAACTTTGGTGTTCAGAGGCTGATCACCAGCTGCTTTTTCCTTCTCTAGGAGGATGACAGAAAGTGGGCTTTGGATGCAACTTGAAGACCTTGGGTTAGACAGTTTCTCTGTAGTGAGAACAATGGAATGAGTTGCCCAAGAAATTCTGAAATACTCTGTAATGATCTTTAAAGATATAATGGACACTTATTCATCTGGATTTGTTTAGGTGTGGTCCTGGTTCAAGACAAAGAGAAGGATCAGCTAACTTCCTGCTTTTTCTATTTAATATACCCAATAGATTCTTGATTAGGAGGGAAAATGAGCAAGATACAGCCCAGTATCCTAACAACAATCAGCCTTAGGGAATTAGTTTGAAAGCATTTGATTTGGTCTTAAGTCTTTAGTACTTAACCAAATTGACTACACAGTAAAAAATTCTAGTGCCTGGGTTTTATAGGGTAGAAGAAGGAAATGGAGTCAAGTGGCCAACACTTCATGGTAAGATCAGCAATGAGATTCTCCTTGCTATCCTTCTGTTTTGACTGTTCTGGACAATATCAAATTAGTTTCAGTGGCTTGATTCTAGGCCAAGATTCTGGCACAGATTGTAGTCTCACTTTGTTTTGTTTAGTCTCACTGGATTTCGCTCTCTTGTCTTTTTATTTCCCTTAGGCTGAGGGTAAAAAGCTGGGATTGGTAGGCTGGGTCCAGAACACTGACCAGGGCACAGTGCAAGGACAATTGCAAGGTCCCATCTCCAAAGTGCGTCACATGCAAGAATGGCTTGAGACAAAAGGAAGTCCCAAATCGCACATCGACAGAGCAAACTTCAACAATGAGAAAGTCATCTTAAAGTTGGATTACGCAGATTTCCAAATTGTGAAATAATGGCCTGAATTTAAATTTTCCAAGAAAAACTCGTGGTTTTGTTTTTTTATTGTTAATAGAACTGTTCTGTGTTCAATATTAGAATTTGTCAGTAAGTTATTTTAGTATCAGATATTTGATACAGATACTGTATATTATATGTATGATGGATGGATTACAGGTGTACACAGGTCTAATCAATAAAAACACAGAACCTATCCTTATCTTTGGTGAACTTTATTTTGGGTAAAATAAGAGGTATTTACTCAGTAAACATCTGTGGGAAGAGAATTTTGAGGTAATTTAAAGAAATCTGAAAGAAAAAGTGGTTACTTTGAATGATTTCTTTAAATGGTTTCCATGAAGTTTTTCTTCAGGAAATTGCACACCTAATAAGAACAAATACCACAAATTCAATTTGTTAGCTGTTCAAATGATGTTTTGGACTAATTACTTTTAGTTTTCTGGAGTTTCTGCTGTCATTCCTTTCCTCTAGGTAAGGAATTCACATAAAGTGATGTTATGGGCTAAATTATGTCCCCCCAAAATTCGTATGTTGAAGTCCTAATCCCCCAGCACCTCAGAATGTAACTGTATTTGGAGATAGGTAATTAAGGTTAAATGAGGTCATTAGGGTGAGCCCTAATCCAATATGCCCTAGTGTCCTTATAAAAAGAGGAAATTTGGACAGAGATATGTGAGTGCACAGAGGAAAGAACATGTCAACACAGACGGAGAAGACAGTCAAGTACAAGCCAAGCAGAGAGGCCTCCGAAGAAATTAACCATGTCGACACCTTGATCTCAGACTTCTAGCCTCCAGAGCTGTGACAAAATAAATTTCTGTTGTTTAAGCCACCTAGTCTGCGGTATTTTTTGTTACAGCAGCCCCAGCAGGCTCATACAAGCAATAATTAAGATTTTGCTTCATCAGCCCTAGAAATCTCCTGATTTGGTTTGGTCAGCCATTAAACAATATATATCAAATGCTTACTGGGTTTGACAAATTCCAATTTTTAAAAATATAAGGTTTCAATGAAAATGAGATGGAAAGCAAAAACTGAGGATTGGTTAACGATTCCCAAAACACCTATTCTCACAGCGTTCTTAGAATTCCACTTTCTTCCCATTAGAAAAGAAGCTGCGGTGGTATTGGGAAGATACCAAAAAAGTCAATGAAGGGGGTCGTGGTTTCCTCATCTATAAATTAAGAAAGTTGAGCTAGATAATTTCCCAGTCTTTTCCAGCTCTGAAATGCTATAATTCCGTAAGATGGAAGGCTCTGGATTTATTCATTCATTGAGATCCTAACATAGGCCAGGCACTCTTCTTGGCCATGGGGACACAGCAGTAAAACAAAACTGACAAAATCCCTACCTTCATATAGCTTACCTTTTAGTGAGAGAGGACAGACAAGCAGCAAATAAAATATATATTGAAGTAAATGGTAGTACGGAGAAAGGAGGAAAGGGGAAACGGGAAAAACAAAAGTAAAAATTGCTAGAAACAGCTTTTCACACCATGCTAAAAGGGGATAAGGATTGAGAATTCGGACTACCAGTATGAAGGGACTCTGGGCTTGAGAGCGCCTAAGCCGGTAACACTTGGTGCGCATGCGCATTGGGGCGTCACGGACGAAAGGGTGTCCTCGGCGAGCCTCCTCAAAAGCGCATGCTCCTGGGCTCGCGCGTGCATGAGCCTCGCGAGCCACCGTGCGCGCGTCCGGCGTCTGAGGCGGTTGGTGTCGGGGTGATGGTGAAGCGCGATCCTAGGTGACTTGGGGGGAAGCACGCGACGAAAGGATGGTTCCTGGAGCTCTTGTAACACCAGAGGGCGGTGACGACTGCTGCGGGCCAGCTTTTCGGACCCAGCTGCGCAAGAGCTCCAGGAGGCCTCCCGGCCTTTCTTCAGCGCGGGCGCCCGTCCCGGCTGCCGGGGGTGCGGGTTGAGAGTTGGGGGAGGGGTCGGGGTGGAGCCTGAGCCTGGGGGGTCCGCGCCCTGGCCCTGCCCTCCGAAACTTTCTTAGCTCGGGTCCCAGACCGCATTGTCCCATTTGACCCAGGAGCTGTGCCCCTGAAAGGAGTGGGATGTAATCAGGAAATCGTTGAGTTGGGTAACAATCGGAATACTGTTAAACATTTTGCTTTCATTCGCTGCCGGCTGTCAAGTTCATTAGCTTAGAAAGCATCAGATCTGCGATTATAGCTCTGATTTTCCCAGGTTTGAAAAAGTAGCCCTGCTATCTTGGAGAGGTCCAGCCTGTGCTGCTCTCTCACCTATGAAGAAAAGATGGCACATTTAATTACACTATAATCTTAATTTTTTTTACCTGCAAGAAAACAAAATCAAGTTCAGGTAGCCCCTGACCATCACTATTATGGCCAAGGTAGATTGTAGCCACCCGTAAAGACCAAAAAAGTATTAATACAAAAGAGTATTAATAATAAGGACCTTCTGAAAACTTTTTATCAAAGTAATACATGAACAATATTTTAAAATCAAATGATAGAGAAAGGAAGGCTTATAATGAAAAGGAATTTCCCTTCCTTATCCTTTCCCAATCCCAGTCTCTTTCCTCTGAGGCAACTACCTTTAACCAATAATAATAATAATCTCTCAATGCTCATCTCTTCTTGATACAATTTGATTTTTTTAATTTCCCCCTTCACCTTCCTTATTACAGTGTCTCCCAACACTTGATTATAAATTTTTTCTAAAAGTCATGGTTATCACCTAATGTATAAGTGTTATAAAACTAGCTTGGATGTCTTTTTCATGAATAAATTCTAGCTAATATTTCTTAGCTGAATTTAGTTTAGGCGTCTGTTTTTGGTGAATTGATTAGAGTTTCTAACACTGTCTTTATGGGTCAATTTCAAGTGTGATTCTGATTTCACTTTAGGGCATGTGGGATTTGGAAAGGAGCAGTCAAAATTATGAAATTATTAATGCTACTTTGGATGTTAAATCTGTTGCACCAAACGTGAGCTGTGTGATCTGCCTAGAGATCAGAGCTATAATTTGTTTTGTTTTGTTTTACAATGTGGTTTAATGAGAGATTTCATTTACCTCAGATGATATTTCTTCATGCTTGAGAGAAATGGGTAATGCTATGTAACTCTGAAGCTTTGATAATGTGTGTGTGGTTTTCCTCCCATAGGCAATTATTTCCAGTCAGAGAAGGAAACCAGTGCCTGGCCTTCTCACCAGCTTTCCTCCTGCCATGATCAAGTGCTTGTCAGTTGAAGTACAAGCCAAATTGCGTTCTGGTTTGGCTATATGCTCCTTAGGCCAATGCGTTGAGGAGCTTGCCCTCAACAGTATTGATGCGGAAGCGAAATGTGTGGCTGTCAGGGTGAATCTGGAAACCTTCCAAGTTCAAGTGATAGACAATGGATTTGGGATGGGGAGTGATGATGTAGACAAGGTGGGAAATCGTTATTTCACTAGTAAATGCAACTCTATACAGGACTTGGAGAACCCAAGGTTTTATGGTTTCCGAGGGGAGGCCTTGGCAAGTATAGCTGACATGGCCAGTGCTGTGGAAGTTTCGTCCAAGAAAAACAGGACAATGAAAACTTTTGTGAAACTGTTTCAGAATGGAAAAGCCCTGAAAGCTTGTGAAGCTGACTTGACTAGACCAAGCGCTGGGACAACAGTAACAGTATATAACCTATTTTATCAGTTACCTGTGAGAAGGAAGTGCATGGATCCTAGACTGGAGTTTGAGAAGGTTAGGCAGAGGATAGAGGCTCTCTCACTCATGCACCCTTCCATTTCTTTCTCTCTGAGAAATGATGTTTCTGGTTCCATGGTTCTCCAACTTCCTAAAACCAAAGACATATGTTCCCGATTTTGTCAAATTTATGGACTGGGCAAGTCCCAAAAGTTAAGAGAAATAAATTTTAAATATAAAGAGTTTGAGCTTAGTGGCTATATCAGCTCTGACGCACATTATAATAAGAATATGCAGTTTTTGTTTGTGAACAAAAGGCTAGTTTTAAGGACAAAGTTACATAAACTCATTGACTTTTTATTAAGGAAAGAAAGTACTATATGCAAACCAAAGAATGGCTCTGCCAGTAGGCACATGAATTCAAGTCCTCGACTTCGGTCTAACCCAGAACTCCATGGGATATATGTAATCAATATGCAGTGCCAATTCTGTGAGTATGATGTGTGCATGGAACCAGCAAAAACTCTGATTGAGTTTCAGAACTGGGATACTCCTTTGGTTTGCATTCAGGAAGGAGTAAAAATGTTTTTAAAGAAAGAAAAATTATTTGTGGAATTGTCAGGTGAGGACATTAAGGAATTTAGTGAAGATAATGATTTTAGTTTACTTAGTGCTCCTCTTCAGAAGCATGTGTCCTCTGATGAGAAGGGTGACCAGGTCAGTTTCCAGGAAGCATGTAATAATATTTTGGATTCCTATGAAATGTTTAATTTGCAGTCAAAAGCTGTGAAAAGAAAAGCTACTATAGAAAACATAAATACACAGAATTCTAAGGATTCAGAAGCTATCATAAAAAAGACAAATGATTCATTTTTGTACACTTATGACTCAGATGGCCCAGGCCATAGTAAAAAGACAGAGTCATCTTTACAAAACAAAGATAGCTCTTGCTCAAAATCAGGGATCTTAGAACAAGAAACAGCTGAAGCATCAGAATCAGGAGAAAATGAGAAACATAAAAAATCCTGTTTGGAACTTAACTCTTCAGGAAATCCATATGGAACCAGTTCAGAAATGTTCACAAGCCCTTTTCAGACATCTTATCACTTTGAGGAAAATGGAGAAGATCTGGAAACACAGAAAGTAAGTACTACTGTTAATGGCATGACTGCCAACATCCTGAAAAATAATAGAATTCAGAATCAACTAGAGAGATTTAAAGATGCTACTGAAATGGGATACCAACCTCTGCCTTATGAGACAACGTCATTGAGAGTACATGGTACTCAGAGAGAGGATGAGAAAAGAAAAAAAGAACCTAGTAATTGTGGAAAAAGAAACGTTTTTAGTTATGGACAAGTTAAATTATGTTCCACTGGCTTTATAACTCATGTGGTACAAAGTGAGCAAACTAAATTAACTGAAACAGAACATTTATTTAAAAATTGTGTTCGACCTGGTCCTGCAAGTGCCAAAGAAACATTTGGAAATAGAACATGCCATTCAATTGAGACTCCAAACATCAAAGATTTAACCAGCACTGTAAGTACAGAATTTGCTCAACTGCCCAACAAAAAATTATGCAGAACAAATATAAGTTATGGGCTAGAGAACAAACCCATAGCAACTTATAAAAATTTTGCTATTTTTCAGGAAGGTAGTAAAAAGTCAGATACAGGCTGCTTATTACCTAACACATCCTCTTCTTTCCCTTGGTGTAAACATGTTTCAAATGGTAGTAAGAAAACAGATAAGTTGATTGATTCCTCCAAACCCATAGCCCTTAAGAAGCTAAGCTTAAGTTCACAACTAGGATCTTTAGAGAAGTTTAAGAGGCAATATGGGAACGTTAAAAATCCTCTGAATACAGAAATGGAAAATAATAATTTTGAAATCACTACCAATCTCAGTCCTCAAGTTGAACCTGACAGTCTGCAGAAAGATAAGAACCACTTAGACAACTCCAATATTTGTAAAATCACTACTATGAGATGTAATGATTCAAATAGTAGTTGTCAACCAGTCAGTCACATTCTTTACTCAGAGAAGTTTCCATTCTCCAAGGAAGAAGATTGTTTGGAACAACAGATGCCTTGCTTAAGAGAAAGTCCTACGACTCTGAAGGAGTTATCTCATTTTAACAGAAAACTTTTGGATGTTGAGAAGTCACCTGAATCTCTAGCCTCTAAATTATCCAGAATGAAAGGTTCCGAAAGAGAGACTCCAACAGTGGAAATGATGAGTCATTTTAATGAACTTCTACAATCAGATTCCAGTAGGAAAGACATTGACTTGTGCAGTGGGTTAACCCTAGATTCTTATAAGTTATTTAAAAATGAACATAAGAAAACAGAGAGTGGCATCATCCCGATGTTGGACTCTGTCACACAGGATGAAACATATTCTGACAATACAACAGAGAACTCGGTGATACCAGAAACTCCTTTGGTATTACCCTCTAATAATTGTAAGTCTTTCAGTAAAGATTCAGATGTTCTTATAGATTCAGAACAGCAGAGAGGAAGTCCTGACTCTCCCAGTAGAATGTTAATGAGTCACATAGAAGATTCCACAGTTGACCAAAAGGGAACTTGTTTTCAGAGTGAGGAATCTATAGCAAGAACTTGTTCTGAAGATGAAGAGTCAAACACATGTTCTTTGGATTGGCAGCAGCATTTTGATGTAGCACTGGGAAGAATGGTTTATATCAACAAAATAACTGGACTTAGCACATTCACTGCTCCTACTGAGGATGTTCAGGCTGCTTGTACTAAAGACCTGACAACTGTGGCTGTGGATGTCATGCTTGAGAATGGTAAGTATATAGTGTTCGCTGGCATGCATTGCTTTTGAAGATGGGAATAATGGCCAAGGAGTTAGATAATCATTGTTCAAAGAGATTATCTCAGCAGATAGAACATTTTGAAGTTTAATTATAAAACATTTTATGATATATGAAGATTCTCTAGGTCCAATACTATTTAAATCTAGAAATACAATGAAAGATTGATGGAGAATGGAAGTGTACGTATATGTGTCTATGGGTGTGTGTATGTGTAAGAGGGCGAGACAGTTTTTAAATTTTATTTATTTATTTATTTAGTGTGTTTGTGTGTGTGTGTGAGAAAGATCAGCCCTGAGCTAACATCCATGCCAATCCTCCTCTTTTTGCTGAGGAAGACTGGCCCTGAGCTAACATCCGTGCCCATCTTCCTCCACTTTATATGGGACGCCACCACAGCATGGCCTCACAGGCAGTGTGTTGGTGCGCACCCGGGATCCGAACCTGGGCAGCCAGCAGCAGAGGGTGCAGGCTTAACCACTATGCTATGGGGCCGGCCCCAGGACGAGACAGTTTTTAATGAAAATTGTACTATTAATAGTTGAGAAGATGCACAGGGCTTCCCTACCGTGCTTTCTGCTCTCTCCCAAACATAACTCTCCTAGAAATTTGTCTTTAAAGGCACCTGCAATGCGAGTGTGGTATTTTTCTAGAAGTTGTTCTCTGCAGCTCCCAGGTAAAGGGCCAGAATGATCCTGTTATCCTAGATTTCCCAATAAAATCCATGGCTCAGTATGGTACCATATTTATGAACTTTTTTTTTTTTAGAAAATAGAACTTGGCCATAATTTTTTTTGAATATAGGTTAAGTATGTACTTTCATAACTATACTTTTCAAATGTACTTTATGATAATACATATGCTAATCCACTTGATCTGTTTGGTATAAGTAGTTGTTATTCAGGAAAACAATAACGTGGCTTTTAGATCATACCACAAAGCTGCTTCAGAGCCTAGACGAGGACTCTGAGTTCTCAGGTCTCAGTCAACATTAGAGGTGACATTGTTTTGGCAGTGTGTTGAGAGCCAGATGTTGGGAGATAGTAAAACTGACTTCCATCTGGATATATATAATCTTGGTTTTGTATCAGGAGGACAAACATTAAATCTGTGTCCATATTAAAAGTCTTGAATGTTGCAGAAGAATGTAAATTGTATGAATGTAATTGCAAATTAATTTATAATTTCTCCTTAGGATGAATATCTCTAGCAGGAGGCTCTGATTTATTTAAGGTTAAATAAGACCTTTATTTTTCAATGGTTTCCAGTTTTTTTCCTTGTGAAAAAAATAATCACTAGGAGCCAGCCCCATGGTGTAGCGGTTAAGCGTGCACGCTCCGCTGCTGGCAGCCCGGGTTCGGATCCCGGGCGCACACCAACGCACCGCTTGTCAGGCCATGCTGTGGCCGGCATCCCACATAAAGTGTAGGAAGATGGGCATGGATGTTAGCCCAGGGCCAGTCTTCCTCAGCAAAAAGAGGAGGATTGGCATGGATGTTAGCTCAGGGCTGATCTTCCTCACAAAAAAAAAAAATCACTGTAGTAACTTTCAAAGTATTAAATAGGAGAAAAGCCTTTTCTTTCAATACTGCTCCTGAGACTATCAGGTTGCTCTTAAAGACACGTGTTTTTTCAGTCTGTGTAGTTTTATGTCCTGATTATATTGAATGCTTATCAGATGTCACTGTAAGGCACTGGCGCCTCATCTTCCTGAACATGGTGACCAAAAATAACTGGATTACCTTAAACTGAGATAGTTGTTGCTAAAACAAAGGGGGACATCTTGGCTGCCATACTCAACATAAACATCTGTTCCTCTTAAATCTAGATATTTAAAACACTTAAACTTACTTAACTTTCTGGATTAGCAAGTCTTATAGTGAACTTCTGAAGGTCATGTTAACTCAGAGTTTCATAATGAAAAATAAAGTATTTTATGTATAGAAACGAGTTCCATGAAAAGATGGCTCCTAAGCACCCTCCATTCACATGGAATGTTACCTTTCTAGAAATGGCTGATGTATATAGCAGGACATTAGGACATTGTTGAAGCATACACAAAAATGTTACATAAGGTGAATTCTTAAGAGGTAAATTTAGTTGTACAGCAGAGAGGATCTATAAAGGTATTTTTAAGTAGTAGTGCAAGTCTCTAAGCCCTGGCAGTTTTTTTCTTTAAAATGTCTTGAACTCTGTCCTTTCTGTTACCAGTGACACAGCCTTATTTCACATCACACTTTAATTTTATCATTCTGAATTTAATCTCTCTCCAGTTTTTGTCCAACAGATTTATTTTTTTGAAATATTAGTTTCATCATGTTTTGCCCCTGTTCAAAGCTGTCAAATTCAGCATTGTTTCTAAAACTCAAATCTGATCATCTTTCAGAGAGGAGGTATAATTTGGGCCAGATCTTACTGGACTTTGGAGATTAAATTCAGAACTTTTCATTCATTCATCTATTCATCTATTCATTCGCTTATTGATCTTTCACACTGTGCTAGGTGCCACCACATTGCAGATTAATTGACTTTGCTTTCAGGAGTTCGCAGTCTATTAGGGAAGACAGCTATCTAAACATAATTATAATATGATGACATAATTGTTATAATAGACACATATACTGGCGATAAGAGACATATAAACTGGGGACTTGGGAAGGTTGCACCAAGTAGTGGAGGATGGCAGTTAAGTACCACTATATGTCTAATACAGAGTTTCTCAGCAGTGGCACAATTGACATTTTGGACTAGATAATTCTTTGTTGTAGGGTTTGTCCTATACATTGTAGGATATTTAGCAGCGTCCCTTGCCTCTATCTGCTAGATGCCAGTAGCACCCCTCACTCAAGGTGTGACAACCAAAAATGTCTCAAAATATTGCCAAATGTACCCCAAGCAAAATTGCCCCCACCGAGAATCAGTGGTCTCTTTTAATAGGTTCTCATTCTGTCTGGTCTAGATGGATAATGGGACTTAGCATTAATGTAGATTCCTAAATTAGCAGAATAATCTCATTAAAGAACATCGGACTCTCAATCTACTGTTTAGTAGTCTGCCTTATGTCTTGATTCAGTTTGTGCAGAAAGAGATTTTATGTAACTTAATTTTTAAATTGTTTATATTTTGAGTTCAAATGTCTAGGTTTTTCTTTTTTATATTTAGGATCTCAGTACAGGTGTCATCCTTTTAGAAGCGACCTTGTTCTTCCTTTCCTTCCTAGAGCTCGGGAAGAGAGGACTGTGATGAGACAGAATAACAGAGGTAGGGGCAATGAGAGAGACTGACAGTACACCTAGTACATTCTGTACCACCTAACTCAAAAACAAAGCAGAGTTGTATTATTAAGCTTGATCAGTGCCAGCTGTGCCTTGCTGGAACCAAGAATTCCCCACGGTCCTATTTAACAGCAGAACTAAGTAATTCAGTGCATGCATTTAGATCAGAAATTACTTTTCCAGACTTGAGGTCAATACTGGGTGATTATGCACAGTCTGTGGCATCTTGTGAGGAGAAAATGGTTATTTTTCAAGATCGGAGTTGTACTCCATATTGCAGTAGTTTTATGTAAGAAAACTCTTACCCACAAAAAAAGCTACAGACATTTATTATTTTTTCTTTTCTTTGTTTCTGAAAATAGAGAAGGTATGTTTTGTGAGGCTACTAATTTGGACCAGTTTCTTCTGGACTTGTATTCTGAAATATCTCTTGAAAATAATTTGGAGAAAAAGCTATAATGCCAGAAGATACGATCATCAATTCTAGTTTTAAAAATAACAGATCAAAACAATTTAGAGATACAGCAAACACTGGACATTTGTAGAATATTGTAAAGTGTGTCTGATCTTTGGTCTTGAGCTACACCACACCAAATATGAGGTGCCATTCACCCTTCCCCGAGGCTCTTGATGCTGATTTGACCTATCCCTTTTTGCCCTAGATACTGTGTATGATGCTGTTGGTAGTGAATCGCTTCAGTCTTTGTTCTCAGAATGGGACAATCCAGTATTTGCCCGTTATCCAGAGGTGGGTTTGCAGCAATTTTTCTTTACCTGTTATTTTAAAATTTGAATTTCATTTAAGTTGGGTATGAGCATGAATGACTATACTAATTTGTAATTATAAATGGAAAGTGGGCATGTTTCCAAATAATGTATTTGGAAATTATATTTAATGTAGAGAAGAGGAATCAAAATTCATAGCATTTTGGGAGTTCAGACATTTTGGATTAAACGTGTAATCAGTATGTGAATAGTAAATGTGTTTACCACTCTTAGAAACCCTGACTTGCAGTTTTGGCAAAGTATTTAAGGTGGTGATAATAAAAAGTGTTATCATTGGATAAAGCAGTGAATCTTCTCCTGGAGGAACAGTTCATCACTGGACCTGAGTGTGCGTTCTCTCCTCAGTGGGTTATCACAGAATGTGCTTAGTGTGTTGTAAAGAAGGTGTATAATAGATGAGCATCTGATTACTGATTCTTCAGTTAAGATATCTTTAAGGACTTGATCACGGAGCATAGACAGATTGCTATTCTGAAATAACATTGATTTTTGTCAGTAATTTTTTTTATAAACAAAAATTATTATTTAAGACTAATAATTCATAGAGCCTTTTGAATTTCTGTAAATTCCCTGAATTCAACCCACCTCTAGCAGGTTCTATGAAAATAAACGTTTTTAAGGCACTTTGAGGGCCGGCCCCGTGGCTTAGCGGTTAAGTACACGCGCTTCGCTCCTGGCGGCCCGGGTTCGGATCCCGGGTGCGCACCGACACACCGCTTCTCCAGCCTTGCTGAGGCCGCATCCCACATACAGCAACTAGAAGGATGTGCAGCTGTGACATACAACTATCTACTGGGGCTTTGGGGGAAAAAAATAAATAAATAAAATTATAAAAAAAAATAATAATAATATTAAGGCACTTTGAGATCTTTGGTAAAACATCTTCAGACATAGGAAATTAAAATTTAAATGATGTTTGTGCTGGTTCTTTCTAGGTTGCTGTTGATGTAAGCAGTGGCCAGGCTGAGAGCTTAGCGGTTAAAATTCACAACATCTTGTATCCTTATCGTTTCACTAAAGAAATGATTCATTCGATGCAGGTAAAAGATTGACTTTGAAATCTCATAAAAATATATATAAGACCTAAGCTAGACTAACTCTTGTGGAATTGGATTTACTTAATGATATAGACCACGCAGGTCAAGGCACATGTGTTTTTTTAAATCTTACTGGAACTTTTATCACCAGAAGAAAAAGCAAAGAACTAGTTATAATTACAAAGGAAAAAATGTCCTTAGTAGTGTGAGCAGGTTTGGAGGGATGAATTATGGATTCAGGCTCACAGTTTCAAAGATCATATATTGACTTCATATTTTGACAATAATTTATAAATCAACTAAGTACTGTAGAGACATTGTCCTTAAATGTGCGACACTGCCCCTTTTTAAATGACCCTCTATTATGTGAGGCTACAAATGACATGGCTTAGGAGACCCCAGATTGAGGAGTTCCATTAACAAAAAGGACCCCTTGTCTCATCTGCTTGTCTAGTTTGCCCTCTCTACACCACTCAAGCTGTCTTTGTCTCCTTGATTTCAATATGAAAACAAATTAGGATGTTAGACAGATCTAGGTAAACTCCTAACCTGGCATTGACCTGGTACCAGAGCAAAGCAAGCCCTTGATCCAGAAATAGACCCTAGGGAAGTGGTGTAGACTGGGGGCCAATGGGGGAACCTTATCTGTACCTGGACAGAGAGGAGCCACTAAGGTCTAATACCGTGGTGGCTTTTAATGGACTAGTTCCTCCAAAATGGTTTTCCTTGCTTTTGCATAAATTTCCAAAATTTATTTCAGCCCTATTTGTTAGTAATCTGGTCATATTAATAATTCTCTGGGGGCCGGCCCGGTGGCGCAAGCGGTTGGGTGCGCGCGCTCCGCTGCGGTGGCCCGGGGTTCCCTGGTTCGGATCCCGGGCGCTCACCGACGCACTGCTTTGGCAGGCCAAGCTGTGGCGGCGTCCCATATAAAGTGGAGGAAGATGGACACGGATGTTAGCCCAGGGCCGTCTTCCTCGGCAAAAAAAAAAACAGGAGGATTGATGGATGTTAGCACAGGGCTGATCTCCTCACAAAAAAAAAATAATAATAATAATTCTCTGGTCATATTGCCTATTAATAGGAGTCATTCTGTTGGGAACATTTCAGGTCTACTCTAAAGTTTTGTTAGCATGTCCCTCTTAGATGCCTCCGTCTGTGTTCTCTTATAGTCTCCTTTTATGTTTTCTGATCACTCTACTTGCCCATTCTTTATCCTTCCTAATGACTCCCTTAGGTTCATCAGCACCTTACCTCAGTCTTAGATGTGAATGTTATAATGCAAACAACTCTAAATTAAGTACAGTTTTGTCTCTTTCTATGCAGATAAGCCTTTGTTAATCTTTATTTAGTGTTGTACCACTTATTTGAATGTATGGCAGGTTCTCCAGCAAGTGGATAACAAGTTTATTGCCTGTTTAATGAGCACTAAGACTGAAGAGAATGGTGAGGCAGGTAAGAATGGAGTTTAGCCTCGATTAATAACCAGCTGGTCTTCTAATAGCTTCCTTTTAAGGTTATTTTTATATACAATACAGTTGCAATGATTTGGACAGATTAGGGAAAACCACTGTAAATTAATATTCTGAAACAACAGTTTTAATGTATTTTTAGTTTTATATACATATATATATAAGATACACATTAAACTATTAGTAGTAGTTACCTTGGGAGTGAGAATGGGAGTGGGCAAAGGGGAAATTTCATCTTTTACTCTTTAGAATATTTTATATTGTTTGACTTTTAAATAATGTTTTCATGTATTCCATTTATAATAATAGAAAGTTTATATAATGAACTCTGCTAGGTTTATCAAGCATTATATACAATTTCTTGGTGACCTGCTTTAATAAAACAGTAATGGTTTGTAAATAATAACATTAACTCATTCAAAAAATATTGATTGAGTGCCTATTTCATGCCAGAGACTGTACTAGGCCCTAGGGATACAATGGTGGGAAAAAACATACATGCCAGAGAAACAGACAATTACACAAACATTAAAATTTTCCCTGTAGCTGGTGTTGTGGAGGAGAGAAAACAAGATGCTATAAGAACGTGGTTTGGGAGATTTGATTTAGTCTGGGAGGTCAGGGAAGGTTTTCTTGGTAAAGTGAGATCTGAAGTCTGAGGATGAGGTAACCAGGTACAGGAGGGAGGGAGGAGAACACTGGGCAGAGGTAATAACACATGCAGTTTGTGTCTTCCTGCCATTTAGTGAGAGGAAGCAGGGCAAGTGCAGCGGGAACGAGAGCAAGGAGGTGAGGCTAGAGAAGGAGGTTGCAGCCAGAACGTAAATGCTAGTTACAAGCTTTGTCTTTGTCCCAACACCAACTGGAAACAATTGAAAGCTTTTTGTTTTCTGTTTTTGTTGTTTGTTTTCACAGTGGCACATGTCACATCACATTTGCATTTTGAAAATATTGCTCTGGTTGCAGTGTTGAAAATAGATTGGGTGTCGGGGTGGAGTCCCAGTAACTGCAGAGAGACTTTTAGGAGGATATTGCAATATCGGAGAAATTACAGTTAGCTGGGACCAGGGTGGACTAGAGAGAAGTGAATGCATTAGAAAGATATTTAGGAGATAAAGTTAACAGGGCTTGGTGATGGATTGGATACGGGGAAAGTATATCAAAGATGACTCCTAGTTTTCTCACTTCCATAACTGAGTGGATGATGTTGCAGGACCAGGTTGGAGGAGACACAGGCAGGGAGGGTGAAAATCGTGAGTTCAGTCTGAAATCTCTTTGAAATGTTCAAGAAGAGATGTCAAGAATGTGGGTGGATATTACAGGTCTGGGACTAGAGAAACATTCTGACATGGAGATATAAATGTGAGCTGTCAGCATAAAGTTGGTCATTGAAGTCATGGGTGTACATTTTATCACTGAGAAAAGGGGTGAAGAGTGAGGAGAGGAGAGATTCTGAATCTAGAATAATTCCAGCATCTAACAGCTGGGTAGAAAAGAGTGAACCAGCAAGAGAGATTGTGAAGGAACAGCTAGAGAAATAGGAAAAAAACAGAAGACAGGTGTGTTGCAAAGCCAAGACTTTGTACTAAATGCTGCCGAGATGTTAAGATGAGGATCAAAAATAACTGTTCAATTTCCTGACAGTGGAAGCCAGAGACTTAAATAAATGAGAGCTGTTTCAGAGAAGAAGTAGGGCAGGATGCTGACAGAGACCAAAAGGAGAGACTCAGAAATCTATGACGTGGAAGAGAGGGACTGAAGGAGGGTGAGAGTTAAAGAAGGCTTTTTTTTTATTTTTAAACTAGGAGACTCTTGAGCACAGTTACAAGGAATGCTTTATAGTGTAAGGTTCCAGAAAAGGCCTGAGTGGCTGTGACCCCTGAGCACTGGTAGAGAGGTTGGCTCTAGAAAGGTAAACCTGCAGGCGAGTGCTTCTAAAGTTTGAAAGTTCATTCTCTTTGTATTTCAAAATATTCCCTTTTACCTTGTTTACATTGTAGATTTGTTTAGTAAATGTCATAATAGATCTAAGGCAGATTAACTAAAAATTCTGTCATAATTATCATAAATATGGAATTAGCGAAGGTCAAATTCTAGTAGTTTTTTTCCTACTGTTTCTATAAAGTGAATAGATTTTTTTCTGAAGTTTTGATTACCTGGAATTCTTTGTTGTTTAACACCAAAATCTCTACTAGTGGCACCTGAGATGGGTGTAGCCACAAAATCTGCAGATGTTCAGAGAAGTAAAATGGACCTCTTTAAATTTCTCTTGAGGTTCTATATTATCAGTGTAATGATTAGCTGCCACCAAAGAGTACTCTTAGATAAATACATTTTCTAAATTAAAATGTAAGTATTTTTACTGTCGCTCACAAATACCAAAAGCAACCTATTCCTATAATTGACTTACTTTTATTTTAATATTTGCACATACTTTTGTAATGGACAAATAGATTATTGTTTTAAATTATAGTGAAATTAATGCCATCTATTGGCATTTTTTATTGCATTTTTCCACCTCCAGTAAAATACAGTTGCTCAGTTATGGTACCCTAAAGAATAAGGATGCATTCATTTATTCTGTAAATATTATTATTGAGTGCCTATGTCCTGGTGCTGATACACATGTTGGGAATATAACAGGCAGAAGTCCTTGCCCTTATGAAGCTTCTATTCTGTTGTGTTGGAATATCAAAAATACAGCTTCTGACATGAATAAATTACCTTAATATATTCTATGTCATTCGAGAAATGGAAAACGTCGTGAACCCTACATAGACTATCAACCATTCCTCCAGAGTCAGGTGCAGGATTGACTTCTTCAGGTCTCCGACTCTTGGTAATTCACATTGGCTCTAGTTTCACGTTTGAGGTTGCTCCCTCAAAATTTATTATTTATTCCATTGTTTTGCCCAATACAGGATGTTCAGTATTCATCACAACCAGCTGCAACTTCTCCTATCCTCAAAGGAGTTTAAAATCCAACATTTTGGAGCTGTTTCTATGGTTGAACTGCTGTCAAAAACATGCTGTCAAAAAAAGTATTTCCTTTTTTTCTTTAAATCTTAATCTCTCATGCCATGAATTTGATGGTGCCATAGAAACAATTTTTTAATCTTTAGTAGAAATAGGAAAAATAGGCATTATCTATTTTGATCAAATACAAGAGGAGAACTTTTATTTCTATATAATCAGTAGCAATAAACCACAACCCTGTGGCCAAAAGTAATAAAATTACAAGCTAAAAAAATGTACTGATGTAACTGAGAATCAGTCCTGTCAACGAGAAAGAGATTTCCCTGTAGGTTTGGCTTTTTGGGTCAGAACATTCTGCCTCCTCTCATGCACTTGAGAGTCTAAAGCCTTGCTGCACAAAGTCATGGTCTGTAAATAGCATCACTTGGGACTTTGTTAGAATTGCAGAATCTTGTGTCCCATTCCTAACCTACTGAATCAGAATCTGCATTTTAATAAGATCGCCAGGTGATGCGTATACCCATCAAAGTTTGAGAAGCCTTAGTCTAAAGCAAGGCAATCTATGGCCTGTGGGCCAGATCCAGCCATCACCTGTTTTTGTATAGCCAGGGAGATAAGAATGGCTTTTACATTTTTAAATAGCTGAAAAAAAGCAAAAGTAGAAGAATATTTCTTTTTTTTTTCTTTGCTGAGGAAGATTTGCCCTGAGCTAACATTTGTTGCCAATCTTCCTCTTTTTTGCTTGAGGAAGATTAGCCCTGAGCTTACACCTGTGCCAGTCTTCCTCTACTTTGTACGTGGGTCACCGCCACAGCATGGCTGATGGAGTGATGTGGGTCTGTGCCCCGGATCCGAACCTGCAAACCCGGGCCACCAAAGTGGAGCATGCCGAACTTAACCACTATGCCACAGTGCTGGCCCCAGAAGAATATTTCTTGACACATTAAAATTACATGAAATTAATATTTCAGTGTCCGTAATAAAGTTTTATTGGAACAAAGCTACAATATTCACATATTGTCTATGGCTGCTTTGGTTCAAAATGAATAGTTGAGTAGTTGTGACAGAAACTGTGTATCCCAAAAGCCTAAAATATTTACTGTCTGGCCCCTCACAGAAAACATTTGCTGACCTCTAATCTAGAGTGTAATAGGATCACGTTCTTCTTGGGTTCCAGAGTAGCTTGCAAATCAAGGTCAGCTGATTATAATAATCTGTTTTTTTAATGATCCTTCATTATATCAAATTTGAATTAATAAAGCAAAATCAGTATTTAAACAGTAAGAATGTAGGGCTTTAACCTTGTTTTATAAATGAAATACTAATGATCTGAACAGTTTTTCATCAGGGATAAATTTGTTTTAGTTTTCCCGATAATTTTGACTTTTTTAGAAAATAAAAGATAGACTTGTTACTATTCAGTATGTATGTTTCTCTTATGCTCATGTTGTTAAATAGTTTGAATTAACCTTTTCTCCCTCAACACCACATGATTATTTTAATCTTGATCTGAGAATTTGAAACTCCAGTAATCCTTGCTAATCTTCTAGATGGAAACCTGCTAGTTTTGGTGGATCAGCATGCTGCCCATGAGCGTGTCCGTTTGGAGCAGCTTATTATTGGTAAGCATCTGTTTGGGACTAGAAAAGATCTGCGAGTCCCAAGCAGAATTTGTATACCTGAAAGAGTTTTTCTAACTGTGACTGTTGTGAGGAAAGATGAATTGTATGTTTAAAAAATTAAGCTGAGGGGCCGGCCCAGTGGCGTAGTGGTTAAGTGCGTGTGCTCTGCTGCTGGCAGCCAGGCTTTGGATCCCGGGCGCACACCGAGGCACCGCTTGTCAAGCCATGCTGTGGCAGTGTCCCATATAAAGTGGAGGAAGATGGGCACAGATGTTAGCCCAGGGCCAGTCTTCCTCAGCAAAAAGAGGAGGATTGGCATGGATGTTAGCTCAGGGCTGATCTTCCTCACAAAAAAAAAAAAAAAATTAAGCTGAAGTCCTTTGGTTTGGCTTCTTTTATAACTAAAAGAATGCAATAGTTCACTTTACTGATTCAAATATGTGGGTCTTACTTACATGGTCAAAGGCATATTTGTCATATATTTATCATCAACCCTAAGGATTGGGTACCTAAGGGTTAGGCTACTTTATCATGACATCCAGCACAAAGATAAGCCCCGCCATATGCCCATATGATATTGGTATACCTTCTTCACAGTTCATTGGGCAGAGACCACCAGCAGTTCAGAGGGCCCAATATATTGTTTTTATTTTAAAATTTAATTTGTTTTTGAATAGGTAGTATGATCAAATAGGTTCAAGTCTGAACGATACAAAAGGGAATATAATAAAGTCTCCGTTCTACCTTTGTCCCTCATCCCACCTAGTTTCTCTCCCCAGAGGCAACTAGTATCACTCATTTGTTATGTATCCTTCCAAAGTCAATACATGCTTTTTAATCTTTGCTACCCTTTTTTCTCATCGTGAGGCAGTGTGTTCCCCAAGAGGTAAAATACCAGGAACATCTTTACCCCTGTGGTCAAGTAATGAAAAACCCTAATGTCAAAGAGTTAGGTGAGGGAGGACCTAGAGAGATCTTTGATGGGCTAGAATGACAATGATGTTACTTCTGTGTTCACTTTTCCTTATAAAATGAAGACCTAATTGTTGGGAAAGATGTAGTAAAAACAGTATTAGAAAAACTTACTTGCTATAGGCCCTGGACCATTTGAGAATAGTACTGACTGCTTGTCTTCAGAGGCTGGGAAACCCTTCTGAAGGAATGGGGAAGCCTTCTTGAGCCACAGGGTTGTGTAGTAAACCCATTTTATTTCCCCAGTAATCCACAGTATTCACCTCTGTTGTTAAAATCACATTTATTGACTATCTACAGGAACAGTGCATTATTCATTTGAATGTAAGATTTAAGTCTTATATTTCTTATTTTGGAAAATACTGCTAAAATGAATAAACAGACTGGATGTTTACTAGTTTGACTTCAATAATGGAAATTCAAAACCTAAAACTGAACATTGAACACACTGCTAAGCACTGTAATAAGTACATGGCTGTGCCTTACCATGCTTCATTTTTATCTGAATCTAGAAGACTTCATTTCCTATTCTTAATCCATTCATCTTTCTCCCAACAGATTCTTATGAGAAGCAACAGCCACAAGGCTCTGGTCGGAAAAAATTACTGTCTTCCACTGTAAGTCCTCCACTAGAGATATCAGTGACAGAGGAACAAAGGAGACTCTTATGGTTAGTACCACCATGAGGATGTGACGTTGGTAGTGTAAATTCTCACAATAATTCTCTGAGGCATAAGCATAACTATTGTTCCTTTTTTCAGATGAGGCACCTGAGACCAGGAGAGGTTACATGACTTATTCAAGGTCATAACAACTATTAGGTGGTGGAGCAGGCACTCAGATGCAGCTCTTCTGACTCCCAGTGCTGTTCTCTTCACTATATCACAGCTGTTGAGTATAGGATAGAGTTTCTCTGATAATTTTTTCCAGCAGTTGGCTTAGAATACGCTCAACATTTCTTGGAACCAGTCAGTGTTTATGCTGTGCTGTTTCTGAAAGCAAAGTTACTGCAGTAATTGCTTCCATTCTGCTTTGCCTTGGCGCATTCTAGATTCTTAGTTTTCGTTACCATAATCATATTGGGAAGAAAGTAAAACACGGAGCCGCAGGGAAGGGGCAAATCATATAGTGAATCACAAGATAGGACGTTTTCCCACTTTTGGACAGTGCAAATGATTGGAAATGAAAAAGAGAATTGTCTCTGAATTTGTTTCAGGTTTGGGAATATGCTATTGCCAATAAATCTTTTTCCCTGAGGCATAATTTATATTAGAGGCAGATCCATTTATTTACATCCCGTTAATCAGGACTTCTCAGTTCCTGGGGCTGTTAATTACCTCCCTGCTTTAACGCTGATTCAAAACATTCTCAGCCCTTTTATTTGTGCCAGACTCCTCTAAGTGCCAACAATGAGAAGTTAGCAATTCCTCAGTGAAGAATAAAAACTGAGGAACAAGACCTAGAAATAAATTGATTCTCTCAATGGAAAAGAGAAAAAAAAATGAAGGTTACTGTAATTCGGAAAGGAAGTTTGATAATAAAACCCTAAATAAACGCCCATAAGTGTCAGAAAAACAGTACAACCCTTAAAACTTGTGGCAGCTTTTGAGAAACTATTAAGTATTCAGTACCAGTACTAAAATGTGAATGAAAAGTAATGCTTTTACATTTGAGGTTATCTCTTTAGGTGTTACCAAAACAATCTGGAAGATCTGGGCCTTGAAATTACATTTCCAGACACTAGTGAGTCTCTGGTCCTTGTAGGAAAAGTGCCACTCTGTTTTGTAGAAAGAGAAGCTAATGAAGTTCGAAGAGGAAGATCTACTGTGACCAAGAGTATCGTGGAGGTAAGACATAACTGCAGGTGTTGAGGAAATTGCTGAGTGATAGTAACCTCATATTTTGTTTAGAAACTCGATATTCATCTTTTATTCAATGAGAATTTATGAAGTACCTGCTGTGTGCCAGGTGCTAGAGATTCAAAGATGAATTAGCTTGAGGAGAGGAAGAACATCTAAATAATTATAATATAGTGAAATTTGGCCAGTAGAAGTATGTTCAAAAGTGCTATGGAAATACAGAATGATTACTGTGCCCAGGAGGGTGGAGGTCAAGGAAACTGTCACAGAAAGCTGTTTTATTAGGAAAAGTCTTGTAGAACAGCAGGAGCCTGCCAAGTACAGAAGAAGGGAGAACAGCATTCTAGACAGAGCAACAGATACCAGAGACTTGAAGCAGATCCTATGTTTAGGGAACTACCAATATATATGGCTCCAATTAAGATCTCTATGGGGTAGTGGTGGGACTGGATGAGGCTAGATAGGCTGTCAAGACTAGCTCATAAAGGGATTTAGCATATTCTGCTAAGTAGTTTGAATTTCATCCTGTAGGCAGCCAATGAAGAAGAGTAAGATACATTTTAGCATTGCATTTTAAATATGAGTACTCTACATATATGTTTTGTAAAGGTCTGGAAAGCTGCTGCTGGGATGTGGCATTGGAGGTGATGACGAGGCCATTACTTCTTACTTTTCTTATGTGTTTCATTTTTTTTTTTTTTACAACAAATATAATTTATTTTGTCTTTGTTGCCTTTTCTTTCCTCCTTTCCTGTTTTCTATTAGAGTTTTCTTTTTTTTTCTCTACTGGTTTAGAAGTTACATATTCCATTTGTGTTCCTTTAGATTAGCCTTAAATTTTAGCCTGCATACTTAACAAAGTTTAAAGGTAATTTGTTCCTCTATTCTCTTCCTAAACTGTACAAAAACCTTACAACCCTTTATCTTCCGTCACTCCCCTCCCATCTTACATGTTGTTACCTAGTATTTTAATTCCACCTTGTTTTTAATCTCCCTGGTAGTCATTACTTTTATAGTCATTGTTTATTTAGATTAACCAAATTGTTACCAGAGTCTTTGTTCACTGTTGCTTCTTGAATCCTACTTATTCTTTCTGTGTTCAGTTTTCTGTTTTATGGAAGTAAATCTTTTAAAAGTTCTTTTATCAAGAGTCCATGAATGATAAATTGTCTTTGAAAATGTCTTTATTTTCACACTTGCATGATTGTCTAGCTAAAAATAGAATTGCACATTGCCAGTTATCCCTCAGCATTTTGAAAATATTCCATTACTTTTGACATTCTATTTTTGCCGTTAAAAATCCCTTGTCAATCTAATTATTTGTAGGTAATCTGATTTTCTCTCTGGTTGCTTTTAAGATTTTCTCTTTCTGGGCCGGCCCCATGGCTTAGTGGTTAAGTGCACGCGCTCCGCTGCTGGTGGCCCGGGTTCGGATCCCGGGCACGCACCGACGCACCGACGCACCGCTTCTCCAGCCATGCTGAGGCCGTGTCCCACATACAGCAACTAGAAGGCTGTGCAGCTATGACATACAACTATCTACTGGTGCTTTGGGGGAAAATAAATAAAAATTAAAAAAAAAAAAAAAGATTTTCTCTTTGTCTTTGGTGTTCTGCCATTTCCCTATGATGTATCTTTGTATGGATTTATTTTCATTTCCTTCTTGGGATTCATCATGCTTCTTTTTTTTTTTTTTTTCTTTTTGTGAGGAAGATCAGCCCTGACCTAACATCCATGCCAACCCTCCTCTTTTTGCTGAGGAATACCGGCCCTGAGCTAACATCTATTGCCAATCCTCCTCCTTTTTTTCCCTTTTTCTCCCCAAGGCCCCAGTAGATAATTGTGTGTCATAGTTGCACATCCTTCTAGCTGCTGTATGTGGGACGCCGCCTCAGCATGGCCGGACAAGCGGTGCGTTGGTGCGTGCCCGGGATCCAAACCTGGGCCGCCAGTAGCGGAGCACTCACATTTAACTGCTAAGCCTTGGGGCCAGCCCCCCATCATGCTTCTTTATTTGGAAAAATGTACAGTTATCACTTCAAACATTGCTTCTTCCTCCATTCTCTCTCGTCTCCTAGAAATCCTGTCAGATGTCTATTGGACCTTATCTTTCTAGTCTCCATGTCTTTTAACTTCTCATATTTGCCATTGTTTAATCTCTCTGTGATGCATTCTGGGAAATTTCCTCATTTATCTTCTAGTGAACTAAATTCTCTCTTCACCTACTGTTTAATTAGATGTTTAACTTGTCCACTGGGTTTTTTATTTCAATTACTATATTTTTTTATTTCCAGAATTTTTATTTGGTTCTTTCTCAAATCTGTCTGTTCTTTTTTCATGGTATCCTGTTTTATTCATTTTGGTTTCTTACTCCTTTATCTCTAGCTCTTTCTGTTTGGCGCACAGGCATATCCACATCAACTCAGTCTACCATTTTTCTGGAAATCTGAATTACTTTAGTAATATCTAAAAAATTAGAAGATAGATTTAGTGGATAAATTGTGGGATAGATTGATATGGGAAAGATTTGAGGTAGGGAGAGCTGTTGAGAGGTTCTTGCACTGGTTCAAATAAGAGAGGATGAGGATTTGACAAAGTCAGTAGCAGTGGGAATGGAGAGGATGGACATATTTGAAACATAATTTGGAAGGTAGAATCAAGAGGACCTGGTAAGCAAGAGAATATAAAAGGGATAAAGGAGAAAAGATAAGTAATGATTCTGAGGGTTCTACCTTGGATGAGGGATGACTGGAAGGATGGTGGTACCATTGACAGAAAAAGGAAATACATACCTGGTTGGGGTGTCAGATTATGAGCCTAGGTTTAGACACATGGAATGTGCCTTCAAGTGGGGATGTCCAGTGTACAGGCAGCCTGACAATCTAGTGTTTGGGAAAGAAGTCTGGGCTATATGTATCTATTTGGGAGTTAACAGTACATATATTTTGATAATATCAGAAGCTGGAGAGGGGTCTAGAGGAAGTGAGATTGTCCAGGGAGAATATGAAGAATAAAAAGAGAAGAGAGCAAAGGGTGGAGCCGTAGAATACCAGCATTCAGGGTGTATATGTTTCGGCAAAGGTCTGGAAAGCTACTGCCGAAAAGAGGAAACTGTAAAGGATGATTGAAAATATTTAGTCAGAGAGGGAGGAGGCAAGCCTAGGAAAAGGAATATTGCCAAAACCAAGGGAAGTTTAAGCAAGAAAGGAGTGGAGTAAAGCCTGGAAAGTTGGAGTTGGCCGTCATGAGGACATTGGTTACCTTGTGGAATGTGTTCCTGGGGGTGAGGTGGGGCAGAAGACAGACTGCAGTGGGTCAGGGAGAGAGTGAAGGGAGAGGAAGTGGGCTAAGTGGGCTCCTCTTTCAAGAACTTGCCTGCATACAGAAGAGAGAGGGTGATAGCTAAAGGTTAGGGAGGGTTGGGAAGTGTGGGGCAGGACCCAAGCTTGAGGAAAGATGTTTGTTTTCAGATGGGAGAGACTTCAGCATGTTTGGAGGCTGAGGGCGAGGAGACATTCTTGAGGAAGAGGCAGTTAACAGAGCCAGCTCTGGGACTACATTGGTTTACCCTTTCCAAAGTGCCCTTTGATCAGACACCGTGTGCTTTCCTTTCAGCTATGCTCTTTTCTCCCGACAGAGCTTATTTTCTCTAGGGTTCCTCCTCCAAGTTGTCTTAAATCCAAAAGATAGGATCTGTTAGAATCTTTTATTGTAATTCAATCCCTAAGTATTTAACCAGAAAATTGTAATAAAAACTTTTCCTAAAGTGACTTCAAAGACTACTAGTAAGAAGTTTACTTCAACTTGAGACAAAGCTTATGGTTTCAGAAAATCTTGATTATGTTAAGTCAGGCTGATCAGGAGAGATTTTTGTTGATTCTGGAAGAAGCTAGAACAGTTTTGGTATCTTGAAGAGGAGGAGGTAACTCCTTAGATCCTAGCAGTTGAAAGATCACTAATACATCTTCCTATAAAGTTCTATGCTTTAGCCTGATGAACAAGCCTTTTTAGTATTATTTAAATTACCTAGCATTAGTCAAACCATTGAAAAATGAACAGAGAGTAAGATCCATCTCCCGTTCACCAGGCTTACAAACTGATGTTTACACACCCCAGATATATAAGCACAAGGAGAATAGCAAAGAAGTTAGGTTAGATCTGTATCCACTCTAAGCTTTGTTAGTGGGTCAGGTGTTATAAGACATCTTTCTGTTTAGGCTTTTGGGGAAAATACATGGCTTTTAAAAAATATATACTATCTACCACCTAGCTCTTGGTAAATATGCTCATTTATAAGCATGGTGGACTAGAGTATATATGAGGGAGGGGAGAGTATTTTCTGAGTCTGGTTTAAAAAGAAGGCTACCATGTTGTAATCTTAGGAAACTAATTTATACATAGCCCTTTCTAGAAGTAAAGAAATCCTGTGTTTTCTTATAAAGAAATTGTTAAATGTGCCATATCACAAAAGTGTTTTTTTACCTCCAGAGGTTAAACAAATTGGTAGCATGAAATAGTGTCTGATTTAAATTTCTTTAAAGTCCTTTTGTAAATATTATCATCTACAGGGATATAACTATTGAAAAGGCTGCGCTAGGACAGAGATATGTGAGGGAGGAGAAACTTATTATCAGAATGTCTCAGAAAATAAGCTTTTTGACCTGAAGGGAATCGTCAAAAAAAAAAAAGCCTGTGGGAACTAAAATGACTGCTTATGTTTATGATATTTAAGCAAGTGTTATACTGAGTGCACAGTTGTGTTGATGATTGTTGTGTATTTATTCTGTTTGCATGTAATATTACACTTGTTCTGGCTAAGATTATAAATACAAACAGACAGCCTCTTAGTGAGATGCCTCCCTGATATTTAGAATCAGTTGAATCATCAAGACTACTCTCACTGGTTACATAACCTCATGAGCTGATGAGCTATCTCTGGAGGAAGTTTCAGTAGCTAAATATATTCTCTATTCAATAAGAGTTCTATACATCTGTCTTGGTATTTCATATTCAAAGTGCCTTACAAGAAATAAATTATGCACCTAAGTACTATATGGCTAGAACTCTCTCCTTTAAGAGACATATTTTAAAGAAGAAAATTGGGATATTTTGTACACTATCAAAGGGCAATTATAAGTAGCTTAATGGGTGTTTTCCTTTTTTCTTTGTAGGAATTTATTCGAGAACAAGTGGAGGTAAACTTTTCTCTTATTTTTGGGGTTTCACACAGAGGCACCACACACAAAAGCCTCCATTGTCCCATTTCCTTTTCCCACTAATATAGATTGTGTTTATGCATTAGCTACTCCAGACCACAGGAGGCATCCAAGGGACTTTGCCACTGACTGTCCAGAAGGTGCTGGCATCCCAAGCCTGCCATGGTAAGACTCTCCACATACCAGCTGTTGAGTGCCTCCGCATGCTAAGCACTGGCAGGGGTTTTTTTTGATTATGAAAATTATGAAATTATGAAAGAAGTAGAAGGCACATTTACTACTTCGCCTCTTGGAGGGTACAGTTTAGATCAACAAACAATACACTAAAAATGAACATGAAAACATTACTTGTACAAAGCAAAATACCAACACATGTATTTAACCAGAATGCAGACTGACTTATGAGTGGAGGAGTAACACCTAGAGGAGATGCATTTTCAGTCAAGTTTTGAATGAGCTGAGGGACATAGAGTCATAGGATGGAAGGAAAGTTTACTATAGGGGGAGGAATTAGCCTGTGCAGAGACCCAAAGGCAGAAACAAATTAGTTATATGAGGAGCAGCAAAAAGTATCAAGAAATTAGGCTAGTAAGAAAGAATAGAAGCCTAGAAGGTCACAACAAAACCTTTAGATTTTATACAGAAGGCATTAGGTTCCTGAGTAGGGTAATACGATAAAATATAGAAAACGGTATTGGAGGAACTTACTTTAGGGATCGTGACAGCTACAGGATCCCCTGCAACTATCATTTGACCACAGTGGGGTCTTCAGTCCACTGACACCCTCCCTCCTTTTATCTTTCCATCAGCCTTCTCCTCTTCTCACTCCTGTCTTTTCTGGCTTAGTAATGTCAGTCCCTCATTAGTTTGTCTCCTGCAAATATTGTAAACTCCTTCGCACCATTATCCTGTCTTTACTTCTCATATCTGCTCCATCACCAAATTTCATCACCTCTACCTTCAAAATGTATCTTAAATCTCTCTGATGTGATTTGTTTCCACTGCCACCTCCCTAGTTCTTGCCACTGTTGAGTCTTTTTACTTAGTCTCCCCATGTCCATTCTGACTCCCCTTCAAGCCATTGGACCCTCAGCAACCAGATGTTTCTTTTGTGTTCCTTTTGAAACATCCCTGTGAGTATGTCATTCTTCTAACTAAAACGTGCCAGTGACTACCCATTGCTCTGGGAATAAAAATTTTATTCTTCACCATGGCCTACAAGGGTCTTCATGATCTGGCCCCTGCCTGCCTCTCCAGTTTCATCTCACATTGCTCTCTGCCTTGCACTTGACATTCCAGCCTACGTCCTTGGTCTTGTTCTTGTGTGCTGGACTTCTGCTCTTGCCTTTTTCCTCTGTCTGAAATGCCTTCCTGCTGCTTCTTCAATTAGCCATGTCTTTCTTAACCTAAGGTCTCAGATTACCTACCATTTTGCCAGGAAAGCCTTCCCTGACCCTCCTAAACTGGGTTTGGTCTTCCTATTATATATTCTTTCATACTCTATATTTTCTAGTACTTAAATTTATAATTTAAATTATTGTGTAACTATTTGTCTAATGTTTGTCTCACCCATTAGGTCGTAAGTCCATGAGGGTGGAGATCATCTGGCTCATTCACTGCCTGGCATAGCTCCTAAGACAAAGTATATACTTTGCAAATATTTGTTGACTGAGTGAATTAATATATGCATAAAGGCAGGTTCTGACAATATGAGAGTTTAGGAAGATTATTATGGAAATAGAAAAAAGAAGCAAATAAAGTGGACATTGTAGGGAAACAATCAGAGATCTTGGTGATAGATTGACTCTAGACAAAGATGACCTCGATTTCACAACCATGTAAAAAGTAGACAAAAATATTGCTCTTGCCTCTTTGAGAAAACCTCTGAAAGCAAAATCCTAGCAAGTTAAAGAATGCCTCCTACAGGGATTAGAAAGACAATGACTCCATAAGGAAAAGCTGAGAGACAGGTCACTCCCGAAGCCTTAGTTTCATCCATGGCCGTAAGTGCCAATTTCAAGCAGTATTAAAGTCACATGAAAGAAGCTTAAGACATATCTTACTTTTCCCAGATATTTGGGTCTGACCCAGGGTCAGCACTGGTTTCCCACCATACACACCATAACCTTCTTGTTTCTGTCTTTCGTTTAGGGGCCATTAAGTTTAATGATGGCCTGAGCCTAGAGGAGAGCTGTCGCCTTATTGAAGCTCTGTCCTGGTGCCAGCTGCCATTCCAGTGTGCTCATGGGAGACCTTCTATGCTGCCGTTAGCTGACATAGACCACTTGGAGCAGGAAAAACAGGTACATGTATAGACTGACATATCCTGAACATCTGTTGCCTACTGGCTCTAGGTTTGATAAGATGTAGAAGTTCTCTCTGGGGCTACAGAAAGTTGGTAGAAACACAGCAAATTCACTGCTGGCAAATAAATGTAGCCTAAACAGCCAGTTGCTTGGTGGTACTTTCTGGAGATGGTGACCTTGCTGGAAATGGTAGCCATCTCCATGGATTTATAGAGTTATGATTTGGAGATCCTCAGGCAGGGAACCAAGCTTAGGAGATTTCCACATTATGCTTTGGCCCTGATTACTCAGCAGCCCAGGAACAATGATGTGGATAATGCAATAAAGGCACAGAGTGATTTGAATTAAAGAACATTTTCTGTCCTTGTTGTAATCTTCAATGAAACAGAACATGAGAGCATAATAGGAATATCCATGTTGCTGCTTTCCAAAATCTTTTCTTTTGCTTACCTTTCCTGCTAAGCACTATAAAGGCTTTTCTTTCATGGAGTTTTCAGGTACTGATGTTTTCTGACTCATCCAGTGGATTTTACTCCATTAAAAACTTGTTGTTTCACGTGACAATGAAGAAAGTTTTGTCTCCATTCCTGAAGAAATGGAAATCTAGACTTAAAGTTTTCAGTCCCACTTATCCTAAGGAAATCTATTATCTTTTCTGAATCCAGAATAGAAATCTAAACAGATTTGAATAGCCATAATTTGGAAATACTTATATGCCACTTGGCTTTTCATAGTGCTAATTGGAATTATTCTCTTTCTTCCCATAGATTAAACCCAATCTTGCTAAACTTTGCAAAATGGCCCAGGCCTGGCGTCTGTTTGGAAAAGCAGAAGGTTGTGATACAAGGCAAAGCCTACAGGCTTCCATGCCTCCTTGTGAGCCACCATGAGAACAGAATTGTTGATTTATGAGGAACCAAAGAGATGCTGTCTGCCTCTGTGCAAAGAGCATGAGCAGCAGGCACCCACGGTCTTGCCTGAATCTGCCCAGTGTACCCGAGCAACCAAGCAACATCACTCTTCCTTGAGCAGATGCTCCTCTAGCTGAGTAGCCAGATGGAATCCAAACCTGGACAGTTCATTCATTTGCATCCATGGACACAGGAGGTGGCCCTATGATATCTACTTTTTGTAACTTATTTAGGGATAAAATTTAATGATTGATTGTCTGCTTGATTTGTTTTTGGTTTTTCTTGGGATGGGATGGGGGTTATTTTGTTTTTGTTTTGCAGTTTTCCCAGCCTCATAATTTGCATTGATGTAATTTACCTGACGCTGACCTCGCAGGGATGGAGTCGGCCTTCCTGGGCTGCCCACAGGAGTCCCCTTCTTTTCCTCAGTCGTCTTCACTTCCCTCTGCTGCTGCTTCACATTCCAAATCTCTATGCTCAATAAAAACGTTCCCTGCAGTCTCCCATCAGGCCTATGGTTAGATTATTTTAGGGATAAAAACTATTGATAAACAAAGACAAGGATAGAATAGAGAAAATTTAAAGTCCTGTTCCTGGTTTTTTGTTTGTTTTATTGCCTCTTTAAAAACTCTTTCAGAGACTGATGTTCATATCCCAAACCAGTAAAATGGGGAAAGTACTATGAGCTTGTTTTTTAAAATATGATTTTTTTGTACTTTGTAAAGTATCTCTCTTTATGTGAAAGCAATTTTTCATATCAAAATGCAGCATTTATCCTTTTAGCCTAACCAAGATATGTTCTCTACATTTTTTCAGGAGATAAGACTTCTTTTGGTCCCTTTCAAATTATATCTTGGTTTTATTACAGGATGCCTATCTAATGGCCTCATAATTTCATTTGGGACCAGGACTGATCTTTCTGCAAATGCTTGTTATGCCACTCTTCATCTGTATTTCCCCCACCTTTTTAGATGATTTGATTTCTGGTTAATGAAACTCAATTAGACCAAAGTCCTATAGAAGGAAAAAAAAGCAAAAAACCAGCTGGTGATGTTTATCGCAACTGGGATGCCGTACAATGAGAAAGATGTTGCAACAAGATTTTCCCCTTTTGTATTTATTTCCTGACCAGCCTGCTCAAATTGGCCTTTGTATCAATGGAATGATTTTCTTCATTTTTTAATAGAGGAAACAAATTTGTGCTCATGGAAGAAAAGTTCATTTGCCAACAGCCCTGCGGTGAATCTTACAGGAGCAATGAAGTATTGCATTCATTAGAGTGTGCCTCAGAGAAGGTTCAGGGAAAGCCTTCACTGGTTTTCAAGGGGATCCTTGTAGAATTACGTAATTGGAACCCTGAAGAATAGGCACCACTGTCTCAAAATGGCCTTTATTCTTCTAAATACATATAAATGGTTTCATAGACTGGGAGACATGACCTTAGAAAGGAGAGTGTTTTCAGGGGATCTGTAAGGCTGTCAGGGGCTCTGCCTCCAGGCCCAGTGGGGTGCCGTGGCCTCTGGACCTCTGCCTCCACTCTCCAGAGCTACATGGACGCCAGCTGTCCTGGGAGTTTTAAAAATCCTTTTAGGTCAAACCAATTTGTGGGATTAAAAAAAAGTGTTACGATACCTCTTATATTAGGATGATGGGGTACGATTTCAAAAGGTTTTGTTGTAATCCCAAACCATGCTTTTTACAAGAATAGCAGAGAATTAGAAAAAGTTCTCCATAAATTATGTAGCCAATCTTCCTGGCTAGCCAGACTCAAGGAATGTAACAGATAATTATCCTATTTTAATAATTTATAAACTCAGTAGCATGCATCAGCATAAAACCAACCTATTAGTTAAATATACCTAACATTACTTTTATTGCCTGTTAGAGTTTTGTTTTGTTCTAACTCAGGTGCCATAAGAGTAAAGATACATTTAATTTCCTAACACATGATAGTAATCATTAATACCTATATGGTGCTTTAAGGTTTACAAAATAATTTTTGCCTACCTTATTTGGCAAGCCATGCGGTGGTGGCGTCCCATATAAAGTGGAGGAAGATGGGTACGGATGTTAGCCCAGGGCCAGTCTTCCTCGGCAAAAAAAAGAGGAGACTGGCCCTGGGCTAACATCTGTACCCATCTTCCACCACCGCATGGCTTGCCAAGCAGTGCATCGGTGCGTGCCCGATCTGAACCGGCGAACCCCGGGCCGCTGCAGCGGAGTGCGCACACTTAACCGCTTGCGCCACTGGGCAGGCCCCTAGTTACCATTTATCGAAGGCTTACATATACTGGATGCTTTGTATATATTATTTCTAATCCTTACAACAGGCTCTTAGGAAGCTAGTATCTCTCTTTTACAGTGAGATTACCAAGGTCAGAGATGTTAACCAGTTTGCTGAGGACCAAGCTAAGCAAGCCAGAATTCAGACCCACGTCTGTGTGAGTTCATACTGCACACTCCCCATTATTACCCCATGCTGCCCTATATATTTATAATTTATTAGGGATTTATCAGTTTGTAAACTTAGTGGTTCAGCTTTGTTAGATTCTGGTTGGTGGAGGCTTTGTTAACTTCAGAGTAAAACTTGAGAGATGAGATGTGCAATGAAGCCATTCTTGAGAGTTCCTTTTTTGGTAACATTAATCAAAATTTTATTGAGAAATAAGGTTGCATACCTTTAAGGAGCTTAGCTTCAGTCAGGGAAGAGACAAGAAAACTGATGATGGAATATGGTAACTTCCTCTAGGTTTAGTGATCTTGAGTTACAGCTATGTCTTTATTATTGATAAGAGGAGATAATAATTCTGTCCGAGTTAAAACTATAGATGACAATAGGAGCTAGTATCAGAAAAGCTTAAAGCAAAGCTTAGAGTGTAGGCTAGAAGGAAGGGGAGAGACTGGGAGGGGGCTAGAGCAATGTCCAGAACCTAGCTGGGGATCTGAAACTCCATGAGTAGTTGAGAACAGAGAGGTTCTAGCAGTCAGATGTCAGAGCAAGGCAAAGGATCAAACACAAATGAACAGCTGGGATCTGGGCCTAACAGTGAAAAAAACACAGCAACCAAAACAGGCAGGGCAGAAGGGGGGCCCAAGGCCAAGTTCTAGAGATGAGTAGGGGGCTGAGGAAGCCACACGAAGTGAGAAGAACGGATGCAGCCCATCAGTTCCTAGAGAGCCAAGCTCAGCTGAAGCTTCAGGCGGGTGCCAGTATCTGCATATCTGGATGAAGGGAGGAGCAGCTTCTGGCACAGAGAACCAGGCTCTCCTTACCTGTTCTCAACCCGACGTGCCACCCCATTCCATCAAAACCCTTTACAAAAGGAGGCTAACAGTGAGAACTCACTGGGATGTCTGCCACCATACATCATGGCTGTTTTCACCCTTTCTCAGCTGAAGTTGCTCATCAACATGAGATGGCAAAAAGGTGGGCTCAGGAGAGAGGAAAAGAAGTCTGGGAAGCCAAAAATCTGGCTAATCTACACCAAATAAACCCTTCCTTCCTTCTCCCCCTCCATTTACTCATCATTCAGTAACTATTCACTGTGAGTCCCTTCTAAATGTATTGCATCAGAAGTTGTGGGGGATATAAAGAAAAAAGAGGTCATCCTATGGCTTAGGCTTTTTCAAACCCTTGGATCATTTTCACCCCATGCCCATTTGTCATAGAGCACTCAGTGTTATCCAGAAACATCTGATAAAGTTCAGACAACCTGATCAAGGTCTGTGGGAATCTGAGTGTCTTACATATTGGAATCTATCAAGCCAGTGAGCTAGCGTGACTCAAGTGGCAGTCTGAAGAAGTTAGAGTTGGTCTGACTTGACCCTTACAACTTGCCTGACTAAACAACTTGCTCTTGTTTACTTCAAAAGCAAGGAGTATCCAATGATGTCCCCCTGACCCCCAAAAAAGGTGGTTTGGAGTTAGGTACTGCTATTGTTTATCATTATTCAAGGTGTTTCATCACCTCTCTTTTATAGTAGTTAACTGCAGAATTTTAATTTACATATAAATTATGAATTTTAGCAATCTTGTCAAGTTTTTAAGTAGCTTCCTTCTTCTCTAGGCAAGTCTTAATTCTAAATATAACATGCCTGAAAAAATACTCCTGAAAGGCTCCTTCTCTTCAGCACAGTATTTAACATAAACATCAAGCAATCACCATTTCAGTGTAGTTAGGCTCCAAGGCTGCCCTCCATTGTGAAGGGTTGTGAAGAAGATTGAAAGCTTAGACTATAGCTCTTTATTAATAATAACTGCTTAGACATTGCACAATATCCTGGCACAGCTGTTTGGTGAATGAAAGAATAATTCAAAGCAAAGTAGGCCAGATAGAAAACACTTTCAAACCACATTTCAGAATAGCTCCTTTGTGTCAACTAGGTACGTGTCCGCAGAGGGAGTTTGTGCGAGGACAGGCGGATAGTATGGGGCCTTTACAATAATTACATCACCATCTGGACTATCTTTACTGCAAAGCAGTTCTCATGTACTGAGTTCTACATATGTGGTATTACAGAGTCAGGTAGCTCAGTGATGGAACTGTGTGACTGACAGCCTTCATCAACCCAGAGACTGATGTAACAGATTGCTGTGAGACACGGTTTTGAAGCACATCTGTGAAACTTATGATCCTTTGGGTACCAGCATGTATTTCTTTGAGGTATCACTTTACACTTAAGTTTTTCTTGGTAGAGTGTTTTTTAGAGACTTCTCTTCTGAGGCTAAATTAGGAATTTCTGTTCCTTATTCGAGTTCCAAGAATTGTGCCTTTCCTGCCCTCCGCCCAAATTGGAAGATATAAACCGTGGGAAAAAGTATCTTTACAAACTGTATTGAGTAAGTTATCTAACTTGGTTTATTTAGCATATTCAGGAAACCTTTCACATCCATGGAATCCTCTATTAATTCTCTCTAAGCTACAACAGCTTTTTTTCTTCGTTTCCGGGTTCTGCCTGCAAAGGCAGGGGTGGGAGGTGGGCACAAAGGCTGAAAGGTAGTAAGTCGACATGGAACTCCTCAGTTACTCCCTGTTCAGATCACGTTCTGATATTTATTTCCAATATTGACTCTCAAATAGGAAAAGGGAGAGAGGGAAATAGAGAAACAAGGCATATAAATAGCTCTGTGGGATTTACTTAATTGCAGTCCTAAAGATTCTGAAGAATATGCATTTGTGCAGTTCTGTTCTAGGCACTGGAAGAGTTGACCAAAGAGACAGAGCCTCTACCCTTGTAACCTTCCTCCATCTCAGTTATGCCT